TCTTTGAAATCTATCATTTCCTCCATTGTGACAAGTAGGAATTGGGCCATCTTCCCCAATGAAGAAATCCCTTGCTTCTCCAGAAGATTCACATGGAAATAGTTGCATTAAGAGGCAGAGCTGGGGAGAGAAGGATTGGGGTGGCAGCCATACTCTTTTAGGCAGCCTGAAGATAAGAAAAACCCCAGATGAAGAGATTATTAGGGCTCTTCCAGATATGATGGATTAATGGACTTGCTTTCTATTGTCTTATAGAGGACACCCATTACTTATGCCATCAGCTGGTCTAGTAGCACCCATTCAAAAACTGAGCAGTCAACCTTTTTGGCAAGGCGTTTCCAGGCCATAATTACTATGCAGATGACATAAACAAACTGTCTACTCAACTGGCAGGATGGCACCCCTTTAATGAGGAGCATGGCCCATTTTGGCAAGGGTAGATCTCTCAAACTTTTTATGGGGTGACCGAGGGCTAAACTACATGATACCCTCAGCACCCTGATCTACTTCAAAGGACATTGTAAAAAGAAAGAAAATGTTCCTTTCGTCCCAATTATTTTTTCTTTCCCTTTCATTCTGGGGCATGTGTACTGGGGAGAAGGGCTTCGGACCTGGGGTGTTTAGTGTTTTAACCTCTTCCATGGATATTTCATGATGTGGACTTAGGTCCAATACAGTATTTTCCTGTTTAACTCTCTTCATCTAGGGATGTGCAACCTGAAGCAACCAAAAATTATCAACAAATGGTAACGCTTGAACATGAGATAGGGATAAAGTATTTAAATAAATAACTGAAGAGTGACTGGGTGAGGAGTGGAATAGCAAGAGAATTTCCAGACGGAACCTGAGAACCAGCTGTAGGAGCCTTCAAAATCTCATTGAGGTCCTCCGTTGAATAATGGAGAAAGTACTTGTCTGAATCTCTACCACTTTCTCCTAGCTTCCAGGTAGCAGACCCCGTTTTCCGTACAGGATTCCTTCATGGAATATTAAAACTATAAATGCAAATAACACTGGATAACTATATTTTTAGGGCTGATTAGGAAATGACTGACTAATGTCCCCTAGGTGTGTCTTACAGATGAGGTCAATGAATTGTGTATCTGGTAGAGTGGCAAACATTTCATGTTGAATCATTTTGTGCCCAAGATGAGAGTATTTCATCTATAATAGCAGGAAAAGGTCGTTTCCCAACGTCACCAGAAGAATCCACCAGGAGGTACCGAAAAGAAAGTGCTGGATCTCCAACTTTACCAAAAGGCTCAGGACTTCCAGATACAGGATGAGAACCACCTTGCAGCCTTCAAAATCTTACTGAGTTCCTCAGAGTGAACCATCTTCTACTGTATGATCAGATTTGGGGAAGAAGGAAAGTGTCCCTTAATGGATTCAAAAAGAAGTGGAAGAGGAAGGGGGAGAGCCGGTAGCAGTCCTTCAGGTGTCCTAGAGATTTAGATTTCAGGATCGGAGCATTGTATAATGCAGAAAGGATCCGTTTGAATCTCTACCACTCTCTCCCAGCTTTCAGACAGCACTCCTGGTTTTCTATACAGGATTCCTGCTTGGTATATTGAAATTCTAAGTGCAAATAACTTAAGTAATATCATTAGGGCTGATCAGGAGATGAATGACTAGTGGCCTTGTTTCTTTCCAGGTGCCTTACAGATGTAGATGACTTGTGCATCCTGCTCACTAAGCAGCAGCCATTTTCCTTTTGATGAACCGTAGATCAGATGAATGAGTAATGGTCTTGCATCTATGTGTGTCTTACAGATGTGGATGATCTGAGTGGCAGCCATTCTCCTTTAGACAGACCAAAGGTAATGAAGGAGCATATGAATCAAACTAATATTGGCTATTCGCTTTTATTATGAATTGCTTGTGCTATATAAACTTACAGTAAGAGCAACACGGGATAAAGATATTACTAGGGCTGATCAGGAGATGAATGACTATGACTTGCTTCTTTCTATGAATGCCTTGCTTCTTTCTATGTGTGTCTTACAGACAAATTGGAACAGTTGTGCACTCAGCTGATTGAGTGGCAGCCATTTCCACTTGGACACAACCAAATAGCCTTTGTCCAAGATGAGAATTTTCCAGCCATAATAACATAACAGCAGGAAAATACTTTTTCTCAACAAGTCACCAGAAGACATTGAAAAGAAAGTGGGTCAGTCCACATCCATGTATTTAGCGAGCCAGGAGTTCTACAATGATGTCTGGGCTGCCAACTATCGTTAAGTGCCAATTCTTCAATGAAGTCTGTCTGCCACTTGTTGCTAGTCATTTTGGTTCACACTACAGTGCTAACCAGGATGCACTATGAGGAGGTGAACTAGCATCACACACAGGACTCCTTGTTTAAGTGGGGTCTTGTCTCTATCCCTCAGTGTAACTGTGGTGCT